AAAAAAAATAGTAAAAGCTTATTTAGATAAATTATTTTAAGTCACCATGTAACATGTTGCAATAAAACTAGTAAATTGTAGATTAATTACTAATTTGAAATAAATTTAATTCATTAATTTCATAGATTTAATTCATTTAAAACACAGAATATTTAATCCATCCAAAGTAAAGTCAATGCCTGTAATCATATAGAAAATAAATTTAATATAATTGTGGGAGACATTATGCATTGAAAATATTTTTAATTGACGTTATTATTGTTAATTTGTAATATATACCAATTAAAGGTAAAAATTATAATAAGATAGTATAATTTATATTATACTAAATAGTAAATTTATTCCAATACACATGTAACTGCCACTCCACCACAATCGCTCAAGAGCACCTGTGAATCACAAGAACCACAGGTGAGAGGTTCAAATTCGTAAAATCATTCTAATGTTTCTTGAATCATTCAAATCGGTTGATCCGTGCTCTCGAAATCGTCGACAAAAAATTGTATCCGAACATATGTACACACATGCATACATACACACACATACATAAATTTTTACTAACAATAAGGTATGCCAAAATGATCAGAAACCTTTAAAACGCAAAGTTATTTATAAATTATCATTTTCGATTTTTTTGCGATTACTATAACTTACAAAACGGAAAGTTATACATATACACTAGTTATATATAGTTATATATAACTAGTATTGTTCGGACGTATTTTCGTTTTTTTATATTGGCCATGAAGGTGACAATCTTCAGGGCATTGAACTTTCACACAGGATGGTTGCTACCCCTGATGGGGTAGCGGAGAGTTTAATGAAACTGATTGTTCACTTCTAAAAGTAAATTCCACTTAACAACATGTTTAATAAATAATATATATATATATATATAATATATATATATATATATATATATATATACACTATATGAGTTATATATATATACACTAATATAACTGAGACAAATTTAAATCTGATAATGAAGTTATGTTATTAAACTGACCAACCATCCTGGTATGACCGGGACAGTCCCGGATTTCCACCTTGTGTCCCGAGTTTTTCTAAAAGCAATATTTGTCCCGGGTTTAAATTTTTTGTTCCGGATTGTCCCGGGTTTTGACTTGCCTGTAATAAGTGCTAATTATTTTTAAATAATTATGAAGAAAATTGAACAAAATTGTATAAGTTTGAAAGTTAAAAAATATATGTAATAGACGGATTTTTATAGCATTCTTAAATAGTGGTAAAAATAAAACGATTTCTTTAAATATATTAATTTATATTAATGTTGCTTGATTCGCGATCTGGAGGCAAGAGGATTTATTCTAGATAGATTTTAACATAAATATAAAAATGGCGGATATATGGAGATGGTGGGAGAAAAACACCATTACCAACATCACAAATAATAATGTGTCCCGCCATTGTGAATTACAAACGTATATATATACATATAACATTAGATTTAACATCATAACATGTCATTACATAAAAGGTGACAAACAATTTTGTCAAAATAGTATTTGTTATTTTAAAATCACATTAAATATTTCAGAAATCAACTTCCATCCCCCGTTCCGGATTAAAAATATATGGTCACCTTATGTTATACAATTGGCAATAATTGGAAAAATACAAATACAATTGGCAATAAAATAAAAAAATATATTTATCTCAATATTGTTGGTATTATGATAATATCATCATTATTTGCGTGTGTAAATTTTAAACGCCTAATATTAAAATTAAGCGAGCATAGCTCACTTCTATATAGGATCAAATCCCATTATTGAAATAAATAATATAGTTAATTTAAAATTAAATAGAATTTGATTTGTTGAGTAGAATTTGAATAAAAAATTAGAAGAAGAAAAGCAAAATCAGAATTTATGAAGATCAGATTTAGAAGTAAAGCGTAGAATGAAAAAATCAGTCGTAAAGAGCAAAAACATAGAATATGATATAAATAAAAAGAAGGTGTGGGTGACAGATAATTAGAGGGCT